AAAAAAAAAAACCCAAGAGGTCATCTCATAATCTCTGTGTAAGTTGGTTTATGAATATAAGTAGGCTGATTGCTGGACTGGTCTATTACATAGTTTAAAATGCTATGTGGGTTGCTCAACTGACATCTTTTTGAAAAGGACAAGTATTCTAATTAATGCTCATTACATGGATAAGACAGTTATTTACTTTCATTGGAGTTCACTTATCTTTCTAAAAGAAAAAAGGGCCAGGCATGGTGGCTCATGCTTGTAATTTTAGCACTCTGGGAGGCCAAGGCAGGTGGATTGCTTGTGATCAGGAGTTCGAGACTAGCCTGAGCAAGAGTGAGACTCTATCTCTAAAAAATAGCCGGGCATTACGGTGGGAGCCTACAGTCACAGCTACTTGGGAGGCTAAGGCAAGAGGATCACTTGAGCACAAGAGTTTGAGGTTGCTGTGAGCTATTACACCACAGCACCCTATCAGGGGCAAGAAAGAGACTGTCAAAAAAAAAAACCAAAACTAAAAATAAAAAATAAAAGGCAAAAAGCTCACTATGCTGCCTTTAATATTCCTATAAGTCGATGAGACCATACTTAGGATAATCAGTTAAGAATTCTGGATAGACTATACAACACTAACTGGAATTTCAACTCTAGACTCCTAGATTCTTCTTATTAATGTTTTCAAGGTTACTGAAAATACAATTTCAGAGAATTAAAAGGTCTTAAAATTAATAATTATGAATAACTATTACGTATAAAACAGAGTAAAAGGATTCAAACCAATTATACCTATTGCCTCTGTTATTTCCTTTGGTCACAGAAAAAGAAATGATGACACAGCAAACAATAAGAAATATTTATAAAAATCCTTTCATCAAAGGAAGGAACTGGCGTGAAGGTTGCTGAGGCAAAGTGCTGACTTTACAGAACAGGTCCATAAACAGTGATAAAAATGTTCATGCCAAAATTTCACCTTGGAAGAAACCTTCAAGACTAAGTAAACAGTTTTACTATTAAACATCATGCATCTTCATTTTCACTTAACGTTATGCAATGAAATAGCAGAACGATGTCTCAGTACTTGATGGAATAATGGCGAGAAACGAGACACCTCTCCTAGGTTAGTGGTTAGAAAACAAAGATTCTAAATGGCATGCAAACTGCCACGGAACGAATTGGGTTGTTAATTTATTCATCTTATAAACTCAGAGAACTGATTTTTAATGCTGTTCTTCCGGCAAATGCACAGCATGCTCTTGGTGCTCTTCTGTTATTATAAAAGCTCCCTGAAATCAGGGACCGAGCCTTGTATTTTTTCCCTGTCTCCCAAAGCACCTAGCATAGACTTGATCTAAGAAACTCTTGGTTGGGCTCGGCACCTGTGGCTCAAGTGGCTAAGGCGCCAGCCACATACACCTAAGGTGGCGGGTTCGAATCCAGCCT